ACCTGGCTAATTTTTTGTATTTTAATAGAGATGGGGTTTCACCATGGCCAGAATGGTCTCAATCTCCTGACCTCATGATTCACCCACCTGGGCCTCCCAATGTGCTGGGATTACAGGCATAAACCACCGCACCTGGCCATATCATCAATTTTTGTAAGCTAACCACTGTAAGGATTCTCTGGTATATAAATTTATTTTAAATTTAATGAGTAACAGAAGACCGTTCTTCAAACAGCAATCATTCAATATAGTGTCCAACACTGAAAATCATGTAACTGATAAAAGACATATTCAGAATATGTAAAGAACTCTTATAACTCAACAATAAAAGAAATACCAATCTAGAAATGGGAAAAGGATATGAAAGACATTTCTCAAAAAAATTAAAGAAAGAAAAGACAGACAAAAACAACTGTTGACATAATGTGGAGAAACTGGAACCCTCAAACATGGCTAGTGAAATTATAAAATGGAACAGCCGCTAGGGAAAAATTGTTTGGTAATTCCTAAAATGTCAAATATAGAGTTACCATGTGACCCAGCAATTCTACACCTAGGTATATGCCCAAGAGAATTTAAAACATGTGTGGCCCGAGTGCAATGGCTCATGCTTGTAATCTCAGCACTTTGGAAGGCTGAGACAGGAGGATCACTTGAGGCCAGGAGTTCAAGACCAGCTGGGGTAACATAGCAAGACCTCATAAATAAATAAAAACATAAGAACATACATCCATACAGAAACTTATAAATGACTGTTCATAGCAGTATTATTCCTAATAGCTAAAATGTTGAAATGACTCAAATATCTATCAACTGAGGAATGGATAAACAAAATGTAGTGATTTATCTCCATCCAAAGGAATATGATTAGGCAATAAAAAGGAATGAAATACTGACACATCCTATAATATGGATGAACCACAAAAACATTATGTGAAGTAAATGCCAGACCCAAAAGGCTACATATGATATGATTTCATTTATATGAGGTATCCAGAATAGCTAAACCCACAGAGACATAAAGCAGGTTAATGCTTGCCGAGGGTTGAGAAGAGTAGAGAACTGGAGAATGACTGCTAATGGGTACAGGTTTTCTTTCTAGGGTGATGAAAATGTTCTGAAATTGATAATGATGATAATTGTATAATTCTATGAATATACTAAAATTCGGCCGGGCACGGTGGCTCACGCCTGTAATACCAGCACTTTGGGAGGCCGAGGTGGGTGAATCATGAGGTCAAGAGATCAAGACCATCCTGGCCAACATGGTGAAACCCCATCTCTACTGAAAAATACAAAAATTAGCTGGACATGGTGGCGCACGCCTGTAGTCCCAGCTACACGGGTGGCTGAGGCAGGAGAATTGCTTGAACCCAGGAGGCGGAAGTTGTAGTGAGCCAAGATCGCACCACTGCACTCCAGCCTAGTGACAGAGCAATGCTCTGTCTCAAAAAAAAAAAAAAAAAGAAAGAAAGAAAAAAAAATTCACTGGTTTGTACATTTTATTTATTTTCTTCTTTTTGAGACAGGGTATTGCTCTGTTGCCCGGGCTGGAGTGCAGTGGTGTGATCTTGGCTCACTGCAACCTCTACCTCCCAGGTTCAAGCAATCCTCCCACCTCAGCCTCCCCCAAGTAGCTGGGACTTATAGGCATGCACCACCATACCCAGATAATTTTTGTATTTTTTGCAGAGATGAGGTTTTGCCATGTTGCCCAGGTTGATCTGAAACTCCTGAGCTCGAGCGATCCGCCCACCTTGGCCTCCCAAAGTGCTAGGATTACAGGCATGAGCCATGGCGCCTGGCCAGATTGTATAATCTAAAAGGGTGTAGGTATACTATATTAATTATAAGGCTGTTATTAAAAAAAAAAGATAGTGTCAAACACTAGATAGAAAAATTCTGGTAAAATCAAAGTAATTGTATTAAACAAGCTTAAAGTTTAGAATTAAAGTTACCCCTGCATGTTAATTTGTTATATTTTATTTAAATTCATAAATGTTCTTAAGAATGTATGATTGTATGACATGAACAACAAAATAAACTCTTCAGTCTTCATCTTGCAGAGAAAGAATACCTCCATTCAAATTTGAATTTAAAATTTTCCTTTATTCAGATAAGGCAAATCTGTTAAATAAAAATATCCAAATGCAAGGCCAAATTCAATCATCTATATCTATCTGATCCAAATCTTAAACACATATGTCTGCTGATAGTGTCCATGAATAGCTGTGAGAAGCAGACACCCATAGGCATATCTGCAGCTTATGCCTCACCTTCATGCACAGCTCCGCCTTGTCAAAGCCCATCAGCATGTTGATAATGTCAAACCCAGAGGTAGACTTATTCTTTTGATGGACTCCTCGAATGAGTGCACACAAGGTCTGCAGAAATGAGAGAAAGAATTCTTTCTGAAGAGGAAATCTCAAAACTAGAAGGACATTGGGTCTGTAAACACACATTGCAGTCTCATCCTTACCCAGCTGACATTCAATACATTCAGTTTATCTGAGCTCTGAGCTCCAATACATGGTTTGAGTTTTTGCGGGGGTTTTTGTTTGGTTTGATTTTTTGTTTGTTTTTGTTTTCTTTTGAGACAAGGTCTCACTTTCTCACCGAGGCTGTAGTGCAGTAGCATAATCACAGCTCACTACAGCCTTGACCTCCTGGGCTCAGCTGATCCTCTCACCTTAGTTCCAAGTAGCTGAGATGACAAGTGTGTGCCACCAAACCCTGTTAATTTTTTTATTTTTGTAACGACAAGGTCTCACTAGGTTGCCCAGACTGGTCTCCACCTCCTGGGCTCAAGTAATCCTCCTGCCTCAGCCTCCCAAAGTTCTGGAATTAGAAATGTGAGCCACTATGCCCAGACCAGTCTGAGTCTCAGTATGTGCAAAATCCAGAAATTAAAAGAGGAACAGTAACTGAGAATGTTGTCATTCTCATTTTTTATTTTCTTGCTTCTTCTTCTTTTTTTTTTTTTGAGATGGAGTCTCGCTCTGGCGCCCAGGCTGGAGTACAGTGATGCGATCTCGGCTCACTGCAACCTTGACTTCTGGGTTCTTACAATTCTCCTGCCTCAGCCTCCTGAGTAGCTGGGACTACAGGCGCATACCATCATGCCCGGCTAATTTTTTGTATTTTAGTAGAGACGGGGTTTCACTGTGTTGCCCAGGCTGGTCTCAAACTCCTGAGCTCAGGCAATTCGCTCGCCTGACTACTCAAAGTGCTGGGACTACAGGTGTGAGCTACGCACCTGGCCTTTTTTTTTTTTTTTTTTTGAGATGGAGTCTCACTCTGTCGCCCAGCCTGGAGTGCAATGGCGCAAACAATCTCAGCTCACTGCAGCCTCCACCTCCTGGTTCAAGTGATTCTCATGCCTCAGCCTCCCAAGTGGCTGGGGTTATAGGCGTGTACCCCCATGCCCAACTAATTTTTGTAGTTTTTTAATAGAGACAAGGTTTCACCTTGTTGGCCAGCCTGGTCTTGAACTCCTGACTTCAAGTGATCCACCCTCCTCAGCCTCCCAAAGTGTTGGGATTACAGGCGTGAGCCACCACGCCCGGCCAACAGTTTTTATAATTATTTTTAATAACTACAATAGTTAAGTTCCTTTTTAATAGCCAACTGCTTCAAATCTTAAAATCTTCATAATCCTCATCCACTACTTACTAGCTGTGAGAACCTAGACACACACATTAGTTAACTTTGCAATGGCTCAGTTTTCTCATCTATAAAGTAGGAATTATAACAACAGCATCCATCTTACAGGAACGTCACGAAGGCTATATGAAATAATACTGTACTTAGTCCCTGGAACATTGTTAGAGCTCAGTAAGCATTAGTTATTATAACAGTGTACAGCATTTTATGGGTCACTAAGTGGCTTAATGTCAATTTATTTCCACTGAAATAAAACGGTTTATGATTCATGCCCACACAATGAGCACTGTAATTACTGAAAGTACAATTTCCAGCTTTCATCAAGCCCCTACACTACAACTCAAAATGTGGAACTTACAGTGCCAAAGGTTAACAAAGCCATAGGATAAACATGGTCCATCTCTCTGGGACATCAACTCAAGAGGCAATTATTATTGCCATTCTTCAGATGAGAAAACTGGAGGTCACAAAGTGATCTGCCTAACTAGTAAGTTAGAAACTTAAACCCAATCTACCAAAAGTTCCAATAAAATTATTTATTACATCATGGATTCTTCATATTCTAAACTTGCCAATCGCTGCCCTAAGTACTCTCAAACTATGCTATACTAAACCTATCAGACTAAATTTTAGAAACTTTGTCACCATTCATTCAATAAGAACTTACTTCTAGAGTGCTATTTGCTAGGCACTGTTCTCTGTGCACAAGGAACATTCTACTCACTGGAAACAAAGTGCTGAATGAAACTCTCAAAATCTCTGTCCTCAAGAAGTCTGCAGTGTATCTGCATCACCCAGCCCAATGCCTGGCACATAACACTATTTAAGAAATAGTTGTTGAATGAATCTTATAATCATGCCACTTAACATAAAGAAGAGTTTCTTAATGTTTTTTGAGTTACAAATCCCAGATCCCTTTCAAAATCTTTTTTTCTTTTTTGGAGATGAAGTCTCATTCTGTTGCCCAAGCTGGGCTAGGGTGCAGCGGTGCGATCTCGACTCACTGCAACCTCCGCCTCCTGGGTTCAATTCATTCTCCTGCCTCAGCCTCCTGAGCAGCTGGGATTACAGGCATCTGCCACCACACCAGGCTAATTTTTGTATTTTTAGTAGAGACAGGGTTTCACAGGCCAGGCTGGTCTCAAACTCCTGACCCTCAGGTTATCTGCCTGCCTCGGCCTCCCAAAGTGCTGGGATTATAGGCATGAGTCACCGTGGCCAGCAGTCTTCTGATTTTTGATAAAGACTAATCATTCTTGCTTCAGTTTCCTCTCTACTTCTTCCCTTTCTCAAGTAAAAACAAGAATTCTAACAATCTACTTTGTCATTAGATCATATATTACACAAATGGATAAGATTACTTCTAAGTGTCAATTTGTATAAATAGATGGCTAAACAAACACAGCATAAATATTTGGTAGCTTAAAGAAATAAAAAAGAGGCCAGGCGCGGTGGCTCAAGCCTGTAATCCCGGCACTGTGGGAGGCCGAGGTGGGTGGATCACGAGGTCAAGAGATCGAGACCATCCTGGTCAACATGGTGAAACCCCATCTCTACTAAAACTACAAAAAATTAGCTGGGCATGGTGGCGCGTGCCTGTAATCCCAGCGACTCAGGAGGCTGGGGCAGGAGAATTGCCTGAACCCGGGAGGCGGAGGTTGTGGTGAGCCGAGATCGCACCATTGCACTCCAGCCTGGGTAACAAGAGCGAAACTCCGTCTCAAAAAAAAAAAAAAAAAAGAAATAAAAAAGAAAACTTCATACCTCAGAGCAACTCTAGGTTCCTCAGCTCCAACAGATGTGTTACAATTCCTTTCTCCTATTAAACAAGAATTCCCCAATCTCCCAGCCTTGTACCTGCAATGCATTGACAACTCGAATTGGATGATCCTCTCCCAGAGCCTGGATACAGTGTTGGAATAGGCAATTAATATTGTCCTTGATCTTCATTAACTCCTCACCATCAAGAGATTCCAGCTTGCCTTCTAGGTACTCTAAATTCACCTGCCAAGTAAACAAAGAAGGGGCAGAGTGCATTTTTCTAAATTCACCTGCCAAGGAAACAAATAAGGGGCAGAGTGCATTTTTAGCGTAGCACCCAGAACACATGAGAAGGCAACAGTCACCAGGAAATTCCACAGATGCCACCAAGTCTTACCTTCATGAGAAAGAGCTCCTCCCAGAACCGAGGACTGCACTTACTGGGGTCCTCTGTCTGAAACCAGAAGATAAGCACATTCAGCTTTCCCAGCTAACACCAAAAGCATTAAGAGTGCTATATATAGTCAACCTTAGTTTTCAAAATTAACTTTGAAAATTCTTGGTCGGCCGAGCGCAGTGGCTTACATCTGTACTCCTAACACTTTGAGAGGCCAAGGTAGGTGAATCATCTGAGGTCAGGAGTTCAACACCAGCCTGGCCAACATGGTGAAACACCTTCTCAACTAAAAATGCAAAAGTTAGCTGGGCATGGTGGCACACACCTGTAATCCCAGCTACTTGGGAGGCTGAGGCAGGAGAATTGCTTGAACCTGGGAGGCGGAGGTTGCAGTGAGCCAAGATCACACCACTGCACTCTTGGGCATCAGAGCTAGACTCTGCCTCAAGAAAAGAAAAAAGAAAATTCTTGGTCATTCTAAACCTCTATAAGGGGGAAGAAAACAGTATCTCTTTGTGTTTTTTTTCCAAGTGGAAAACTGTGTGCATGGATATATATTCTCTGCACCAAAAGTTAAGAACTTCCCTAAAATATTTCTCTTCTAGCAAGAAATGAACCTAAACATCTGAATAAGTTAGTCACATAATGACATGTCTCCCGTGAATTGGTACAGTGTTGTTTTCAATCCTATTTACATATATGAAACACAATCCAGTGAGCCAGGAAAGGTAGATATTACCACCCTCCTCCCATTTTAGGAAAGAGGGTACACAAACAAAAGTAACTTACACAAGTGCAGGAGCCAGAACTCAGATCACCTCAGTAATACTGCAGTGGTTTTTACAGCATGCTGTGTTGACTGCTTTTACTTGCCTTCCATATGCATTCAGTCTTCTGTACAAAGCTTTTAATATGCTCTAAATTTCTTAATTTAAATTGGTCCAAAGGGTTAGCAAAATTATCATGCTAAAACCCAAAATTTCCTAGCAATAATTTTCCAACAAATTCTAGGAAATCAAAGGCTGCTGGCTAATGGGTAACATAAGAAAAAGAGAACCCCTACTTTAAAGGAAAGAGAATGACATAAAATAAGCAGGTCAATAGCCCACTGCTACCTTATTTTAAGTTGACCTTTTAAAACTACTACCAGGAGACAGCCAGGTGCGGTGGTTCACCCCTGTAATAACAGCACTTTGGAAGGACAATGTGAGCGAATAACTTGAGGCCAGGAGTTCAAGACCAGCCTGGCCAAGATGGCAAAACCCCATCTCTACTAAACACAAAAATTAGCAAGGCATGGTGATGTGGGCCTGTAGTCCCAGCTACTCAGGAGGCAAGGCAGGAGAACTGCTTGAACCCAGGAGGCAGAGATTGCAGTGAGCCGAGATCGCACCACTGCACTCCAACCTGGACGACAGAGTGAAACTCTGTCTCAAAAAATAACTAAATAAATAAATAAAAATGAGTAAATAGGCTGAGCACAGTGACTAATGCCTGTAATCTCAACACTTTGTAGGACTGAGGCAGGTGGATCACCTGAGGTCAGGAATTCAAGATCAGCCTGGCCAACTGGCCAACATGGTGAAACCCCATCTCTACTAAAAATGCAAAAATGGCCAGGTGAGGTGGCTCTCGCCTATAATTCCAGCACTTGGGTAGCCGAGGCAGGCAGATCATGAGGTCAGGAGATTGAGACCATCCTGGCTAACACCGTGAAATCCGATCTCTACTAAAAACACAACAAATTAGCCAGATGTAGTGGTGGGTGCCTGTAGTCCCAGCTACTCAGGAGGCTAAGGCAGGAGAATTGCTTGAACCCAAGAGGCAGAGGTTGCAGTGGGCCAAGATGCTACCACTGTACTCCAGCCTGGGCGACAGAGTGAAATAAAAATAAAATAAAAATTAGCCAGGCATGGTGGCACGTGCCTGTAATCCCAGGTACTCAGGAGGCTGAAGCAGAAGAACTGCTTGAACCCAGGAGGTGGAGGTTGCAGTGAGCCAAGATTGCGCCACTGCACTCCAGCCTGGGCGACAGAGCAAGACTCCATCTCAAAATAAATAATTGATTAATTAATTAAAATAAAACAGCATAAAATTGCTACCAGGAACTAATGTTATCAGTAGTTAAGTCCTGATCTAATAATAAAATACTAATAATCTCTTCTGGATTTTGTTTTCCTTTTTTTTGAGTCTTGCTCTGTTACCCAGCTGGAGTGCAATGGCGTGATCTCAGCTCACTGCAACCTCCGCCTCTTGGGTTCAAGTGATTCTCCTGCCTCAGCCTTCCCAATAGCTGGGATTATAGGCACATATCACCATGCCCGGCTAATTTTTGCATTTTTAAAAAGTAGAGATGGGGTTTCACCATGTTGGCCAGGCTGGTCTCAAACACCTGACCTCATGTGATCTGCCCACCTTGGCCTCAAAAACTGCTGGTATTATAGGCATGAGTCACCACACTTGGCCTCTTCTGGGTTTTTAATTAAGAAAGGCATAAAGAAGCAACATTTCTGGCCTTCTCACAACGTTCTCATTTAGTGAATTCCTTTTTTTAATTATTTATTTTATTTATTTACTTATTTTAGAGACAGGTTCTCACTGTCACCCAGGATGGGTGCAATGGTGCAATTACAGCTCACAGCTGCCTCAAGCTCCTGGGCTCAAGGGATCCTCCCACCTTACCCTCCTATAGTAGCTAGGAATAGCTGGAACTAGCTAGGACTACAGGTGCCTACCACCACACCCACCTAATTTTGTTGTTAGAGATGGGAGTCTCGCTATGTTGCCCAAGCGGGTCTCAAACTCCTGGCCTCAGGCAATCCACACACCTCAGTCTCCCAGGTAGCTGCGATTACAGGTGTGAGGTACCACGCCCAGCCATTTAGCGTATTCTATCACTTTCTCTCAAGTTCTGCTTCCTAGCAGGGGTCACAGTTTGACCCTCACACTTCTGTAATATCACTTTTTGTCTATAAATGAAACTCAGGGAACTCATGGAACTGGCACTTCCCATCCCCAGAGCTCACTCAAGCAGGAGTTGTATGTACACCAAGCTTGTGTAACAAAGAAAGTATCCTAACAGGATCCTAGCACCTACTTATTTTCTTTGTATAGTTGCTTATACGGCCTTAGGCAGTCTGTATTAACCTTCTGCACGTCAAACTATGTTTATAAGGCTTGCCAAAGTTAGGTATTTTAGTTGACTGCATTATTTATTCTGAGCCATGGTTTTGGAGTCAGTCACCAGGGTTCAAATCACAACTCCATCACCTTCCAGCAGAGATCTCAAATTACCTTATCTGTTAAATGAAGATATTACCAGCACCCTCGCAGAATTCCTGTCAGAATTAGAATTCCTCTATATTTAGTGATACATTTATAATGCACTAGCCACATAGAAGAAACCGAACACATGGTCATTTTTTTTCTTTTTTTTAAGACAAGGTCTCACTCTTTCTCCCAGGCTAGAACACAGTGGTGTGACCGGGGGTCACTGCAGCCTTGACCTCCTAGGCTTAAGCAGTCCTCCTACCTCAGCCTCCGAGTACCTGGGACTACAGGTGCATGCCACCACAGTTAGATAATTTTTGTATTTTTTTGTAGAGAGAAGATGTTGCCATGTTGCCCAGGGTGGTCTTGAACTCCTGGGCTCAAGAGATCCAGCCCCCCAGCCTCCCAAAGTACTATGATTACAGGCATGAGCCACCATGTCTGTCCAGTAATTCTTTTTATAACTATTATTCGGCTGGGCACTGTGGCTCACGCCTGTAATCCTAACAGTTTGTTAGGCCGAGATGGGTGGATCACCTGAGGTCAGGAGTTCAAGACCAGCCTGGCCATCACGGTGAAATCCCACCTTGAAAAAAAATAATAATAAAAATAAGTATTATTCTAATTTATGCATACTACTTATGACCAGAATTTCAGAAGTCAGGTACCCCTGCAGCATATCTAATTAATCTTCCCTGACAGGTTTTTTTTTTTTTTTTTAAGATGGAGTCTCACTCTGCCCAGGCTGGAGTGCAATAGCGTGATCTCAGCTCACTGCAACCTCTACCTCCTGGGTTCCAGCAATTCTCCTGCCTCAGACTCCCAAGTAGCTGGGATTACAGGTACATGCCACCATACCTGGCTAATTTTTGTATTTTTAGTAAAGATGGATTTCACCATGTTGGTCAAGCTGGTCTTGAACTCCTGACCTCGTGATCCACCAGCCTCAGTCTCCCAAAGTCCTGGGATTACAGGCATGAGCCAACGGGCCTGGCCCCTGATAGGGTATATTTTACAACATAGGCTTGGACCATGTTCAATCAGTTCTGAAGACCCAAAGAAATCGCCAACTCAATTGCCAATAATTCCTCAGTTATCCCACGTAGTTGGAGAATGAAATGGTCTAAGTAATTATTTCATTTACCAACAACTTGAGATGGAATATAATAATGTACCCTTTAAAAGTATCTGAATTACAGAATTCTAGGTCCAAAAGAAACTTCATGGGACATCTAGAATAAAAGTCCTAAGTTAGTAGATCATAAGAAGAGCAAATTTTTTTTTTTTTTTTTTTTTGAGATGGAGTCTCACTCTGTCGCCCAGGCTGGAGTACAGTGGCGCCATCTCAGCTCACTGCAACCTCCACCTCCCAGGTTCAAGCGATTCTTCTGCCTCAGCCTCCTGAGTACCTGGGATTACAGGTGCCTGCCACCACGCTTGGCTAATTTTTGTATTTTTAGTAGAGACAGGGTTTCACCATATTGGCCAGGCTGGTCTCGAACTCCTGACCTCATGATCCACCAGCCTCAGCCACCCAAAGGGCTGGGATTTATAGGCATGAGCCACCACACTTGGCTGTCTTTCTTTAGAATATTCAGAAAAGGAGCTTCCCTAGCCTTTCTCCCTCTTTTCAATTGTTTTACCTAGCTCATGACAACAACCTTAAGGACAACATAATAACAACCTAGGCCGGGGGCGGTGGGTCAAGCCTGTAATCCCAGCACTTTGGGAGGCCGAGGTGGGTGGATCACGAGGTCAAGAGATCGAGACCATCCTGTCAACATGGTGAAACCCTGTCTCTACTAAAAATACAAAAAATTAGCTGGGCATGGTGGCGCGTGCCTGTAATTCCAGCTACTCAGGAGGCTGAGGCAGGAGAATTGCCTGAACCCAGGAGGCGGAGGTTGCGGTGAGCCGAGATCGCGCCATTGCACTCCAGCCTGGGTAACAAGAGCAAAACTCTGTCTCAAAAAAATAAAATAAAATAACAACCTATACTAATTAATACATAATTATAATCTCTACTATGAAAGTTTTCGCTTTTGCCCTCAAACCCTCTTTCTCTCCCTCCCCCCATACTCCCCGAGGAACCTGAAGGTGGCAGGCAGAAGTAAGGGTATTTCTCATCTTGGACTAAGAAACTAAGGAGTCAAGCTGTACACAACAACAAGCCTGCAGGCCTTACCATGAAGATCTCATCATACATCAGCACCACTTTTTCCTTCAGCGGTTTTTTGGAAGCTGAAGATTTCCGAAGCAAACCCCCACGTTTCTCTACCTGTGCCATGGTTAGAGAATCTGTGAACAGAAAGTCACATTTTAGGACAGTAAAAGTACTCACTATGATACTATAACGGCAGATATATGTCACATGTTTGTCTAAGCCCATAGAATATACAACACCAAAAGTGAACTCTAATGTAAACTGTGGACTTTGGGTGATAACGATATATGAATGTAAGTTCATCATTTATGACAAATGCCACTCTAGTAAGGGATGTTGTTATTAGAGGGGGCTGTGCATGTATGAAGGAAGTGGACATACGGGATATCTCTGCCTTCTCCTTTAAATTTTGCTGTGAACCTAAAAACGGCTCTAAAAAAATTAAGTCTTAGAAAAGAAAGGAAAGCCAGTCAGTGCCAGAATGCTCTCCAAGATGCTGGAGTCACTGAAATACCACTTAATGAGAGAATGTTTAGGAAGAACTGATAAACAACCACGCTACAGAGCTTGTGCATCTGTCTAACACTCCCCTCCCTGACTAGGTAATGTCAAGGTTTAAATCATTACTTGGCCAACAGCAGAACATATTGTACATCCTTAAAACGTGCCAGTAGACAAGGCTTAAAGCAGATCCAAAACCAAACACAAAACTGTAACTAGCTCCATCTGTAATAGGTCTGGCCATATATTTGAGGATGATGGAAGGAAGAGCACACACTGCCTACAGACTGATGGTGAAGTCAAATTTTAAATATTGATCAAGCTTAGGGCCATTAAGGCAGGAAGTGTGCTGCAGACTGATGTGCTTCATTGATTTTCCCAAAGTAAGCAGGTCCTCATCACTACAAAGTACTTGGCCTTCACTGCCTCATAAATCACACTGCACTTGACTGTCTTTAGAAATTCCTCTGGAAAGAGATCCAAGGCAGAAAACAGCAGTTAAGAGACAAAAAAAAAGAATCTGATTTCAAAATAACTGAATATAGCAATCTACTACTTTCTTTTTTTTTTTTTTTTTTTTTTTTTTGTTGAAATTTTTTTTTTTTTTTTTTTTTTTTTTTTTTTTTGTAAGATGGAGTCTCACTCTGCCCAGGCTGGAGTG